GAAAGTAACATCCCTGCTGATTATAACCTTCTCTGTCTTTGGATTATAAAGCTTGTAGCCTTTTGTGACTGTGCTGTAGCCAATAAAAATGCATTTTTCTGCCTTCTCATCAAGTTTCTTTCTAATATGATCTGGGACATGAGAATAAGCAATACATCCAAACACACGAAGATGCTGAATATTTGGCTTCCTGCCACTCCAAACTTCATAAGGAGTTCTTCCATTCACACTTCTGCTAGGAGCCCTATTCAAAATATACACAGCACAAGCAACAGCTTCTGCCCAAAAATACTTAGGCAGATTCTTCAATTTCAGCATACATCTCACCATATCCATAATTGTTCTGTTTTTTCTCTCAGCCACACCATTTTGCTGAGGTGTATACCTGGCTGTCAATTGATGTTTTATCCCATTCTTCTCTAAAAACTCATCACAGACTATGTATTCTTGGCCTCTGTCAGTTCTCAGTACTTTTATCATTTCACCACTTTGTTTCTCAACATAGGCCTTGAACTTCTTGAAAGTGTCACAAGCATCAGATTTGTTCTTTAAGATATACACCCAAGTCTTCCTGCTGAAATCATCAATAAATGTAATGAAATATTTTCCACCACCGTGTGAGGTTGTCTCAACACTACACAGATCAGAGTGTATCACTTCAAGAGGCCTTTGAGCTCTAAAGGCTTTTCCTTTAGGAAAACTGTCTCTATGCTTTTTACCAAGAACACAGGTCTCACATAAATCATTAGGCACAGAAATATGAGGCAAACCAAATACCAGATTTTTCTGAGCAAGGAGATTTAAACTGTTAAAATTTAAATGTCCATATCGCATGTGCCATAGCCAGTTATCATCAACCATCATTGAACTGAAACAAGGTAATTCACGGTAACTGAGATACAATGGAAACAGCCGGTTTGGTGTCATTTTTACCTTTGCTATTAGTCTATGATTGGCAGCATGGATGGTGCAAACTCCATTGACAATTTGGATGTCATATCCTTTCTCTGACAACTGTCCCAAACTCAACAAATTGTGCCGCAAACCAAGAACGTAATAAACATCTGATATGGAATTGGACGAGCCATCCTTTAGCTTGATAGAGATTCTCCCTTTTCCTTTGGCTGGAATCTTTGTTTGATCACCAAATGTGATCACAGACTGCACAGACTCATTCAAATCACTGAACAAATCCTTGTGCCCACACATATGATTACTGCATCCAGTATCCAACAACCACTTGTTTTTCTCATCATCACTTACAGCATTAAAAGCCAGCAACAAAGTTTCTTCATTGCCTTTATCATTTTCTGCAAACTTAGCATGATGCCCCTTATTTTCAAACCTCTGAGAATTGCATTCATTTTTGTAATGGCCATATTTCTGGCAGTTAAAACACTGAACATTAGATTTATCACGACTGATACTGATTCTCCCTTTTCCTTTGGCTGGAATCTTTGTTTGATCACCAAATGTGATCACAGACTGCACAGAATCATTCAAATCACTGAACAAATCCTTGTGCCCACACATATGATTACTGCATCCAGTATCCAACAACCACTTGTTTTTCTCATCATCACTTACAGCATTAAAAGCCAGCAACAAAGTTTCTTCATTGCCTTTATCATTTTCTGCAAACTTAGCATGATGCCCCTTATTTTCAAACCTCTGAGAATTGCATTCATTTTTGTAATGGCCATATTTCTGGCAGTTAAAACACTGAACATTAGATTTATCACGAGCTTGACTCCAACTGTTGCTATCACGGGCTTGGCTCCAATTGTTGCTTCTTCCTCTTCCTCTGCCTCTTCCTCTTCTGTTTTCAAATCTATTCTGTCCCCTTCTATAATTTGAGTTATGATTCTTGCCATTTGATCTTGCTTCATTGCAGGACTCCTCATTCTTAGAGTCATTCTTTTCCTTTTTCACGTTCACTTGGGCCTTCAACGCTTCTTCATTCCCAATCTCTGACTTCTCATTTAATCTTTGCTCATAAGCTTGCAGTGAACCTTGCAACTCATCAACTGTCAAAGTACTAAGGTCACGTGTCTCCTCAATAGCTGTAACTTTGCCTTCAAACCTGTCTGTCAAGGTTCGAAGTATTTTCTCCACAATCAGTAGCTCTTTCATATCCTCACCATTGGCTTTCATTTGGTTAGCCAAGGACAAGGTGCGTGTGAAATAATCAGAGATGGTTTCTTTTTTCTCCATCTGCAGTAGCTCAAACTGTCTTCTCATGGTCTGCAACCGTACCTTCTTCACCTTCTCTCTTCCAATATAGCTGTTGATCAACACATCCCATGCCTCCTTAGATGTAGAGACATGTGCAATCTTCTCATAGACTGCTGGATCAATTGCACCAAAAATGTACATCAAGGCCCTGCTGTCTTTCTTCCTATTTTTCACCAACTCTTCTCTCTGGTTCTGTGT